AAGGAAAACCTTGATTAATTACCAAAAACAACAGAAAGCCTCAGTTATACAGAATTTTATTTCTACTTTGCAATTATCTGAAAAATAAAAGGAGCAATTTACAAGAAAACATTACATATTTATTTAAAAATGATAACATCCTCAGCTAATATCCTAGAGTCAGCACATAAATCTTTAGTTCTGTCTCCAAGAAATAGGAAAAGTCCTTTACACACAGTTCCATAAAATTATAACTGATATTTGAAATAACTATTATAAAGCCTTTTAAGATCCTTAACCATCAAAGAAAGATTCCAGATTTGTTTATTAAGCAGGACCATGCGTTAATCCATTTTAGATTTTTAATGACTATTTGAAGCAAAAGAGATTTCTGTTTAATCCTCAGTTAAGCATAAAAGTACATTAATCTAATCAGAACATTTCATGTGCTAAGTATCTTAGTAACTGATATTTTACCATAGTATTTTTTTTATTAAGATGAAGAATTTTACTGAAGTTTGTCTAATTGTCGATCACCTCACCACGGGTAAACTACTTTATTGTTTTCAAGACATTTAAAAACTATAGTCATGTTATGACAATTTAAACTACTATACAGGAATGATATCTCCATATGATTTTACTACATGTGAAATATGCTTCATATTCAAACTCAACATAGTGAAAAGTCAACTCTAGTTACATCTGCTAGACCATGTATTCTTAGTGCTGTTCCACTGACATCCTAAATCTCTATTAGTCTAATCACATTGCCTGATAATGACTCTTCCCTTTCCTCCTATCCCAGCCTATAGCATGAATACCATCATTTCTTTCTTTGTCTACCCAGAACCCATCTGGCTTAGTGAATTATTTTTTAATCTAGATATTTCAGAAGCTGAAGTACTCTTGCACTGGAAGCTAGAAGACACAGTAGAGAGATCCAGTGATCTGGATTAAGGAAAATCTGAGTTAAAATTCGCCCTTAGACACTTTCTAGCTGTGGGCAAATCACTTAAATTCTGTTTAACTTAGTTTCCTCAGCTGTAAAATGGGGATAATAACAGCACCAACTCTCACACAGTTGTTGTGAGGTTCAAATGAGATAATACTTGTAAAGCAATTAGCACAATATCTGCCACATAGTAAGAGCTTAATAAATGCTTGTTTACTTCCTTCCTTTGGTATTGCCATGGAAAGGAATGTCATTCTTCCTCAGCAGTTCAATCTCTGAGCTCTTAGGTGCCTTCCCAAATAAATAGCAAATTTTTCAGTTTGGCATGGGTCACTTTCCCTTGTTTTGATTCACATAAATTCCTCTTTCTTTATCCCCTCCTATTCCCCTGCCATTTTCTTTGTCCTCTATCCTTCTGTTACTTTCCTCTGAAAATTTGTTATACTCTGCTAATTGGTTGAAACACAGCCAAGATACTTGCCCATACAGAATTCCATTGCATAAAACACTAACATCTGACAGAGAGTCACAGAACATTAGAACTACAAGGAACATTAGAAATCACCTCATCCAAATTTTACAGGTAAGGTAACTAACGACCTGAAAAGAGAATTTACTTGCCCAAGATCACACAAAGGCTGGAGAAGAACTGGAAATAGAACTAGATCTCAGTTTCCTACCCAGGATTCTTTTCCTGCCTATTCAGCCAACATCTCCTTCCCTTTCTTCTCCACCCTCTTTAAGTCTCATTGATTCCAGGAAGCTTATTTTGACTCACTCTATGGTTGTTATCTCCAAGATGCCAAAATAATCAGTAGGTTTAGTTTTAAAATAATTGAGCCAGTTGTTTGGCACTGTGTAGACAAAACCACCAGTCACTTGACAGAATTCCCTCTGAAAAGTTCTTTTTGGTATTAAGGAGACATAGCCTTTGTGGAAAAATTACTGAGGGGCTAGATGAATCCATTTTTCCTACACCTCAATGTTAATTAAGAACAGCTACATGGGTGGTACAACAAGACAATGACTTCATGTAATTTAATATTTTTTTCTCTTTTTAAACCTGTAAGTGTCCGAAGACTGGGAATTTATCATTCCTATCATAATACCTAGCTTTATGGGCCTCTGGGGAAACTATGGGTATTTGCTCCATTGTTCATTAAGAAACCTGTTACATAATTACAACTACTAAGAAAAAGTCAAATACCAAACTTTTCACAAAATGGATTCAAGTAAAAAAGGCAATAAAGCCAGATTAGGGGAAGAGCCTCAATCTATTACTTAATTGACAAGCATTTATTAAGCACCTACTATGTGTAGGACACTGTGCTCTGAAGATACAAAGAAATACAAAAAACAGTCCTTGTTTGCAAAGAGAATATAGTCTAATGGGGTAGATATTGTGCAAATAACTATGTACTAATTAACTATATGTATGTGTATATGTGTATGATAAATTGGAAATAATCAACAGAGGGAAGGAACTAGCATTAAGGGAAATAGGAAAAGGCTTCTTGTAAAAAGGAGAATTTTAGCTGGGACTTGACAGAAGCCAGGGTTAATTACTATACATCCCTACAGAAAATATTTGTCTACTCAGACCTATATGCATACATATTTTTTTCTATTTTATATATCTATTTCTAAAACTTAATATTTTCTTTTGAATATGTCTGCTCTTCCATAGGGAAGACCTGGGCTATTCCTTAGTATATTAGTATTCCTGATACCATCCTACCTCTCCCCATTATCCCTTTAGTTAAGGATTATAGGAGGAAAAAGAATAGCACACGTGGAACCACAAAAGGACTTAAATGTTTTCTGAACTTAATCTGAATTTAAATGATTGATGTTAGCCATATTTATTAACCCAGGTATTACCAATCAAATTCACAACTACAATTTTACCATTTTAGAAAAAAAAATCACTGCCAATCCCAAAACAGGAGAGGAAAAAGACCAATTATCAGATTCCCAAAGGAAATTATAGCATAGCATTTAAGCTTAAAAAACCAGAAGGCCAAATAGAGCAAGCATAACTAAGACCACTGATTCTTTAATGGAGCTGATCAAGGGCCAGACCTCATATGTAAAATCTTGATGTTGAGGGAGTTATCTTGATGGGTAGAGACTCCCAAACACACATAAATATGATAAAAAGCATTTTAAAAATAGTAAAGGATGTAATTAGGTGTTGTCTTTTTTAAAAAACATCTTTTGTTGTTACATATCTTTTGGAGTTTTCCTTGAAATATATTTCCCCATGTAATTGGCATGAGAGAAAACTGTGAGAAAAAAACTGAATGCATAAACTCAACTCTTTGTAATACTTACCAAAGGTCACATTCCTGTACTTTACCATGTCTGAGTTTGGGGGAATTCATTACGTATCACATTTCAAGAAGAACTAACACAGAACTATAAACATTTTTGAATGAATATTTACACCCTGTCACCCTAGATTACTCTGTTGTCTTACTCAGTCACCAGTATTCTAAACTCTCTGAGATTTAATAACTCAGCCAGCCTGACAGGATAGTGGGAGACATTAAATAATTGCTGACTTTAACAAAGCATTTTTCTTTGTCATAACTCTATGGGTCAGGGAGTGTATTACCCCCATTTTATAGACTTGCACAACTACCCCAGGGAAAATTGAAAGAAATGCAACAACCTAGTTCTAATATGAAAAAAATCAGAATTCTTTCTCTTGTCTACTAAATGCTAGGGATTGTGTGCACATATACCAATCTGTTGTAGCCATCTTTAGTATAAGGCCTAGTATACTGAGTATACTTAGTATAATTTCCACATGGGAAATCCTCCATTCTTTGTCTCCAAATTCAGTGAGACCTATAATTAATGAATTCACCTGCTTTGCATTCAGATTTTTTCCCCCTTTCTTCAGTTCTATGTTGGTACAATAAAAAAAGCAAAGACTAAAATTGAGGGCAAGGGAATCACACCTGTTTAATCAGCTTTAATCCAACAAAGGGACATGCCTTTTACATATGTTCCTCTATCTAGTAGTTCTCACTTAGGCAAAATTCCCACGGAGAATTCTAGATTTCTCTTTGGCAACCTCATCATGACTGGCACGTATTGCCTTTTTTTTTCTCCCAAGAAGGGCTTCTTTCAATTTGTAATAATAACAACTAACATATAGCACTAACTCTGTGCCAGGCACTGTCCTATGCCCTTTACAAATACCATGGGAGGTAGGTGCTGTTATTATCCCCGTTTTATAGATGAGGAAACTGAGGCAAACTGAGGTTAAGTGACTTGCCCGGGGTCACATAGATATTAAGTGTCTGAGGCCAAATTTGAACTCATATCTTCCTTTAGGCCCAGCACTGTAGCCATTGTGCCACTTGGTTGCATCCTAAAAGTTTGCAAAGATTAGGAAAAGTGGCCTATTGAAAGCAGGCCCCATTTTGTAACCACAAAATCCAAAATAGCATCTATTTCAATGGGCTGTCTCTTTAGACATCATCTTACAGGCATTCCTCACTGCTACCTTTGTAACACACATACTAGCTGAGAATTACTAGATTAGCCAACTGAAGGAATCCGCCAATTCACCCTCTAAGTGTGCATCAAGATGGTAACCTTATACTAAAAGGATACACTGCCACAAGATGACAGAGCTTACAACGGAAGGATAAGAAAAGGCAATAATATCTCATTTCATGGATTTCCAAACCTCTGCAGAAATCATCAGGATCTTCCAATGGCCCCTGAATTTCATGTCTATCAACTATCTTTCTTCAGATACAAAACTGGAAAGACAAAGGAGTGTGTTCCCCCTCTTGCCTTTTGCCCAGCACTCAAGTGGTTATAAATTCACTAAATACACACCATAGGGGCCACTGTCTGAGATCTCTGGTCAGACCTAAGTCTTGTGTCCAGTAAAAGGACAAATTAAATTGCTGACTCCTTTGATTGTTCCCTACTTGATCTAATTTACAAACATCACAAGGAATACACCTCACAAACCCCTCTCAATAAAGGCACTTATTATCGTTCCTTGGGTAGCTGAAGAATTATTATATCATCTTGTACTTACTCAGGTGGACAAGGTTCAGTGTTGCAAGCACGCTGGTTTTCTGGTGGTTTGCCATCAGGGTCACAGTAATTGTTCTGGACAATAGAGTTGTCATCTAACCTCTTACACACCACCTCTTGCTTCTGGATACCTTGAGAAGAGAGACACCATTAACTAGAATGTAATTTTGCTTTCTATCATATGCTAGGCAAATTCTTCTGACTCTATGAGAAATCTTGAGGCCCCTGAACTGCTGCTATCTCAGTCTCAGAACGAGTTTAAGAGAGATCACCTCTCTGTTATAATTTTAAGCAACAATCACTGGACTGGAATTTGGCATTCTGTTTTCAAGCAAACAGTAGGAAATATCTGTAGATTTAGGCACAGACTGTGCATATTTGCATATTCTTCTTCCCTCTTTCCCTTGTGGGGGAAAAAACACAATACATCTCCAATTTTTCAATGAAAAAGCACTGGAGAGTGTTTCTGTGCAAAACTGCTGACTATGTTTTGGCTTAAAATAAAATAGTACTATAGAATTTATTGTCTTGATATTTTCTGGAACATATTCCATCAATTTAATCTTTGTAAAGAGCAGAGGAGAAAAATAAGCACACATCACATTCCATTAATGTCACCATGGCCTCTTTTCATTTATGGGGTCCCATCTCTGACAGTCTATGGAAGACATGAATTTTAAGACACTCTTTTGATTTTATCATTCCAGCAAGGAGTTAAGTAATGACATGCCAATGTCTTCATGGAGATTGAAAAGTGTATGGCTTTTAAGATACTTGAACATCAGAAATAAATGTTCTGTCAACTAAGCCATTTGTCTATTGAAACTGACTTAAAACTGTTTACAGTTGGGAAAGCTGTACATAATTCTTTTGTACATTTGCACCCCAAACACACACCCAATTCTTAAAAAATATTTTACGTGACCTGCTCACCACAGGAAAACCACCTGATAGAAAGATCTCTGAGAAAATTAAAAACACATGATGATTTTTCTTAATTTGTAAAACATTTTAAAAAGCAAACAGTCTCAACAACTTGCTTAAAGTAAGAGCTTAATTCTATTATGAAGCAAAAGTCCCCGGTGACTACATTTTGGCCCAAGTATTTCCCTCGATGTCTAAGAATCCAGTAGTTGCAGAAACAAAAAAGTGAGAAAGTCAAGATATAAGAGAGGAACAAGTCAAGTACCACAAAAAGGTCTTGGGCCACAGGGGTGGCATGTTATTCATGAAAGCTGAAAGAGGAAAAAAAACCCAAACCAGCTAAAAAACACCAGGCTAGGCCAGGGGTGGAGAACCTGCGGCCTTGAGGCAGGCCACATGGCCGCAGGTTCCCCACCCCTGGGGTGGGCTAAATTACCTTGAAAGGGACAAGAGTTCTATTAGCAGTACTGAGTAAACCACAGCTTCACACCTACCTTGCCCCCATACAATCACTTGATTGTTTCTAAGTCCCCAGAAAAACAGAGTTTGATCCTGCTTTGGGTAAATCAAATTGAAAACTTAATCTTTCAGGGTGGGAAACCTGTAGCCTGAAGTGCTAGGCACCTAGTACTTTCCCTAAAGTCCCGGCACAATCCTAGAAATACTCTGCCTGGAGGTCCCCAGACTTTTCCTTCACTTTACTGAACTTACACAGGCCTTAGTGAAAGCTCCCTTATAACTTCAGCAGTGAACAGGAAAAACTATCAGGCCCACCAGGTTAGCGAGGCAAATTCCCCGTGGCTTTGGGGATGATGGGGGAGATAAGTTTAAGAAAGTAATTTTTATGGTCTGCAAGGACTCAAGGTTCTTACTCACTATCTTAAAGCCAAAAACAGAAAAAAGTACATTTCTTTTTCATAATTTGGTTGCTGCTTTAAAAAATGCAACTGCCAAACAACCAACTTAACTAAATGGTGTAATGTTCTAAATATTGACTCATGTCCTTCTTTCCCCTTAAAGATGTATCAAACATCTCAATCTGTGCAAGGGCAGCCTGGAAATTTTTAGCTATTAAAATTTAGATTTCTTTTGAGGGAAGATATGACTCACCTCAAGCACATCTATTAGAAATTCACAGATGTTCTACACCACTCATCAGCTATCTCTCCACGGTGTCATCCCAAGTGGGCAGATAACTGGCTCCGTGGAGTCCACCTTTTAGACAGATATCTCTATCATTAGTCATAAGGACACAACATAACTATGAACTGCCACTCTGGGTCAGACCAATGATCCATATAGCTGTGTTCTGTTAGAGGGGGAAGATACAGAGGAGTGGGGGCTAATGGGTCAACAGGGCACTCAGGGCACTTATCACAGAAAGACAAGATTTTGTCTTAAAATCAATTCCATTTGAATCATACTTTCTGCCAGAAATCTGGGGTGTGATGAAAATTCATCCAGTCTAGAATCTCAGCTATTCTTTATAAACAGATATTTCCCACCACAGCAAAAATGAGACTGGTACCACCCAATATGATTTACCACTCCACTATACAAAGAGTATTTCAGTGCCCTCAATCTGATAAAATCACTTTTCTCTCATCAAATTAGCACATATGTAGAACTGGTCATATTTGACCTTAAATGAAATGACACTTTTTAATCAAAAAGCAAGGTCACTACAAACTATTAAAGAACAAGATAACAATGATGGCAACTGACATTTATTAGTGCTTGAAAGGTTTTCAAATTTGACTTACACAATCTAATTTAATTCTCAGGATAGCTCTGTGACATTGATCCTATTGGTATTATTCCAATATACAGATGAAAAAACTGTAGTTCCTAGCCCTCTTCATGGTCAAGAATGGACTGCATTAATAATCTAAGTGACTTATCTATGGTCACATAATTAAGTACTAAGTCAGGATTCAAACCCATGTCTAGGGATCAAAGATTTCAAACTGGAAGTGCCCTTAGAAATCATTCAATTCAAACCCTCAAGAAACTGAAGTCCAGACATATTAAATAATTTGCCCCAGGTCACACAGATAGTAAGTAAGCCAGGATTCAAAAGTAGCCCCTCAGATTCTAAATCCATTGTTCTTTCCACTGTATCACACCGCCTTTTTTTTTTTACTTCAAATCAAACATTCTTTCTCCTACAAAATATTGTTAATAAAAAAAGATGACATTCAAATCTTATTTTGATAAAATATCATCCATAGTATTTCAGACAATATTTTACTGTCTCCTGATAGATACATGTCCTGAATGTTGATTTTAAGTAAAATTTTATACTGCTATTGTCTCCAGTTAACAGACTTTTTGTATGAACTTACATACACACACACACACACACACACACACACATCACATATACACACACAAGCCAACAGCATCAACTAAGAATTTCAGGTTCAGAGGCTGAGGTGGGTACACATTTCTCAAATGGGGTGTTTATTGGTTTATTCATTCATTCAACCATATTTCCTGGATGCTTTACTATTTAAACAATACTATGCTAGATATTGATAATCAGAAGCTCACTTGATTTTGGTCATACTGTAAAGATTTTTAAAATATTAGAGACGGAGGTAAAATCTTTTTGGTTAACTATCACTACTTAATTTTAGAAGATTATTTTTAATGACATTTTCCATTTAAGTTCTCAAACAGCCAGTTGATATTATTTCATGTTTTACAAAGCTGCATTTTTCTCTTTACATTCATCTTTTATTAATTTTCTTCTGAAATGGTATATTAGACAGTGCGGTATTTCACACTCAAGAACTGACTGCACCAATAATCTATTCCAAGTCTTCTTATGAGCAGCTCTGTACAATCTCCCTCCAACGCCACACAAATCTCCTTCCAGCCTCTATCCCAAACTTGGCAAGACAATAGGATTCTTTTCTTAAAGTCACCAGCAAGAGGAAAGCGCTTTAAACCAATGCCACCTAATTAGAGGGATTTTTAAGCACATGCTTCTGGATTAAGTAAAATTCAATTTTTAGTTTCAGAAAACCAGAAAATGCAGATCAAATGGAAATAATTTAAACTAAGTTAGAAAGAGAAAAAAAATGCCCAGTTTAGATTTAAAGGTCCACTAGAATCTTTCAATTACCCATCTTCTTGTACATGGCTTCATTTAGACTGATCTGAAAAACACTGCTAAACAAGTTGATTTAAACCCTTAAGGGAATAATTACAACCAGTTACACAGAAACACTGTGCTTTCAAATCCACAGATTTATAGTTTATAATAAAAGACATAAAATGTCCTTCTGACCAGTCAGTGCAAGTCTAATAGAAAACAAAACTCTAGTGGTTTAATGTCCATATGCCCCTGGAAACATGCAGATATTCTGGTGAATTCAATTTCTGCATGACTTCCAGGGGCTGAATTTAAAGTTACATGGGGAACATTTTATTCTTAAATTAAACACCTGCAATTACAGGTGTGTAAATTTGGTATTTGCTTTAAAAGTAATTTGCCACCACCCCCTCAAAAATATGGTTTCTGATTATAACCATTAATTACAAAAATGTTGATATTGACAGATAATGAATCTGGCGCTGATAAATTTGATGCGACATGGGAGTCTGACTCATACCACATTTGTATCCCTCTTCAGTACTGATTCTCTTCTCTCATCATGCCTCCTTTTTCCTCTTGAAAGGAAAGCAATCTGAAAAACTCATTCATACATATCCTTTGAAACACAGCACTGCCAGATATCAGAACCATTGCAGAGCCAAGTCACTTCATATCTACCCAAGAACCATTCTTCAGAAAAGACGCATAGAAGGGGGGGGGGAGCAGAATCTTTCATTAAAAAATATAGTTAGTGGCTAAGACAATATAAATTTACTTAACCATACTATCCAAGCAAAGTAGCCAGCAACCAAGATAAAACAACCAGCCACAGTAATCCAAGCATATGGTCAGCAGTATTACTTTAATGTAAATCCCCACGTGCCAGCAGCATCCAAAGAAAGACATTAGAGGAGGGGAAGGGTGAAGAGTCTCCTTGCCCTTCCCTTTCACCATATGCAGTTTGGCTATCATGATCATGATTACCTGCTGGCCACAAGCATTTCTGAGCTACAGAGTGAAGTCCTTCTGCCCTGAAACTGAAATCAAACACACAGGAATACTAATCAATTCCAACCCCCTCCCCAGCTGCATCCTTCTTTTGAA